GGGTCTGAGAGGCTTGGACTCAGATCCCTTCAATTTTGGCACCTGGCATCTTAGAAGGGGCAGAGTCCAACATAGTCATTAGTGAGTGGAGACACTTAGGCCTTAAGAGGGACTTTGTAGCTAGTTTTTCAGAGCAAAGACATCAGATTGCGTCTTGTCTTTAGAGCTGCCTAGTATTGCTGCTTGTATGAATTGTTTGGTACACTGTGGTTCTATTTGTAGATTGAATGCCATCCATATCTTACCCAGAAGAATCTGATTGATTTTTGCCGAAAACATGATGTGTCTGTGACGGCTTACCGTCCTCTCGGTGGCTCAAGGTAAGGATGTATTAGGAGCTGTTAGTCTATGTCCTAACCAAAACTAGATGCTACAGGCCTATGTCAATTGGAGCAGCTTCATAGAAGGCACAGGCAGACCAAAAGAGGCTGTTCACACCCTCTCAAGCCCCAGGACTGACTGACGGTAGGGAGGTAGCCCTGGTACTGGGCAGTTGCTTTGATTGGGCTTCCCTGTAGGGGTGGAGAAGAGGAGTGGTCACCACTTTTGAAGAAATAGACCCAGTCTGAAATTAATCCTTTGCTGGTCTGTCTGGTAGTTTATACTACTCACATCTTTCAAGGCGTATCACAGAACTCATAGTCTTTAGATAATGCTAAACCTGCATGTCATCTTTCCCTTAACCTGGAATTTGTACTGTGCCCCATCTATCAGCTAAAGGGCTACCGCCCACTGAACCACCTAAGCCACAAATGTGGAAACCCTCCCTTTCCACCCCCCTCATCAACTCTAACACAAGGATCAATTGCTTGTTGTGCCAGAAGCCGGAGTCTGTCTTTTGATCTCTGCTCTCGTCACTTCTACCTCCTGACGCAATGATCACGTTCACTTCCTGCTCTAAACGTGTGTCCTTCCTGTGTCTGTTTGGTGCAGCTGACCTGGTGACATCCTGTGTCTGACCTCCATGTGCACCTTTCCTGCAAAGCTTCAGTGCGGAGTGTCCTGAAACTACTTGTGGTTGCTCAGACAAAATATTCTTACTAGTCCCTGTGACTTTGCATACACTGTTCTTTTTACCTAATTTTTTTGTATGAGTCTACAAACTTCTGTTTTTGATATTATGTTCAACTCAACACTGAATACTCTAGAAAGCTCTCATGAGCTCCCCTCCACACCACCCATTTTTTTTTATAATTATTCTCTTTTAGTGTTCCACTAAAGGTCCTTGATTACAGAGGCTGTATCTTATCAGTCTACTCGTGGCCTTGGGCCTGAGACATATTAGGAAGCTAGGAAAGGCAGAAATTAGTTTACTTTTATTCCCTGTGTGTTTTCCATATGAAATGGAGTATGTATGTATTATGTGATCTTGATCACAACTAGAGAGGTCATAGAAGTCTGGGGATTTTCCATAGCTGAGCTTTGACACGGCCAGAATACTGGGCTTACAGCAACAGAACATCATTCCATTTGGTTATTGTTGGACACTTTCAGGACTGTCACTAGCCCAATAACCGGGTTCAACGCCCAGTACCACATAAACTTAGTGAGGTAGTACACACCTGCAATCCCAGCACTTGGGAGTAGAGGCAGGTTGATAAATTCAAAGTCATCCTCAGACTACACAGCAAGTTTGAAGTGAGCATGGGATACATGATACCCTGCCTTAAAAAAAAAAAACAAAAAAAAAAAGTTAAAGAAAAGTGGCTCCTCTAGTTACCTTTGCCTAAACAGCTTTCAATGAATGCTATCATACAAGATTTTTCTTATAAAA